ATCACCAACAGATAATACATATTAAAGATCGAATTTTATGCAAAGGAAAAAAAAACATACTGGACAATTAAGGACTCTTTCAATTTTTTCTAGTGCTTGGAATTGCCCACGAAACAGAAAGTTTTTAGTTTTAGTTTCAGATTAGAAAGTTTTAGTTTTAGTTTAGACCGTAATTAGTGTCTCCATTGCTAGAGCTCTTCTAGTATAGGTCAGACAAATACTAATACTTGAGAAGGATATATAGAGTGAATTGAGGTCATCAGAAAATGAATGAGGTATCTGCTAAGGCCTCTCACAGTCACTTCATTCTATAATCGCTAGAAAAATAAGTAACAATACGTAAACTAATTCTAAGGAGACCTATATTGCACATAATAACTGTTTAAAAAAGAAATTATGTAGAGCAAGAGATGGGAAATTTGTGGTTACATAGCTTATTTGGGCTTAGCATGCTTGAAATACTAAGAGCACCACAACAAACCAAGCTACCTACAAGTTGTAGACTATGATTGTTCTGAGAGTGTCATATTGATACTAGATAGAATAAGACATATTAAATGTTTAAACTTGATCAAGAAATGCTATGTGACTACCATTTTTGGCAATTAAATAATGAAGTTAGTTTCAAAGTTCTCCCTTTTGGCTGATATACTAGAGCCTTTATGAGAAAGACAGAGCTAACAGATTTCATATTTATCAATTATATGATTGTTTTTATAAACCTGATTTACATGCTACAAGTCAGAGTGTCTAATTTAATCAAGGAAATTACCAGATCTGTGTAATACTACTACTTCCTATAATTTTCCAATAATCTATGAAATTTCTATACAGGGAAAAATACATTTAGGAGCCAGATGAATTAGATTTTATTATTTACTTACTGGCAAACTAAAGAAATTATTGAATTTCTTTTGGAAAAAAAAGACATAATAATATTTACCATATTGGGTTTGAATAGTTTTATTTCACTAAATGCACATAAAATACTCAGAAATGTTAGTTTCCATCACTGGATTTTCATGAACTGTGAGGTTGGTAAACTTTTAAAATACTTTATTCCTAACATGTACTTATTTTCCAAACAAAATAAATTGTCTTTTGTTATTTAAAGTTCAGATAGAATTAAATTAAAATCAGTTGAGTAACCATTATCTCAAATATAATTAAAACAATTTTATTGTTTTATTTAGAAATTTCCATCATTTTCAGAACAATGTATGTCTAAATTTATATCTGAATTTCTTTCAATGTGAATAACCTATCTACATTATGTGAATTTTAATACACAGCCTGGATATTATTCTATTCAATTCTGCTCACAGGCATATTGACCAGATTCCAATGACTTAAATATCAAATTTAGTAAGAGGAAAAAAAAGCATTAACAATAAAAGCAAGCAAACGACAGCGAAAAAAACAACAACATCTCACCCTAGCTGGTGGTTGATGTTAATCCTTCCTTACACCTTGGCATAAGTATCACAATTGGCTTCCAGGGGTCTTCATTATTTTGGTTATTCTTTTACATTACTCAGTCTCCTTTACTGGTTCATTTTCTTCCTCTCTAAATTTATATTTTTGGAGTGGTCCAGGCCCTTCTAATTTTCTTTTTCTATTTAAATTCTGGTCCTTGATGATCTTCATTATCCTCACAGTTGCTATATACTATTTACATCTATATCATCTATATCTTTATCTAAGATATAGACTGAAAATCCTCAAATTTATACCTCTCATCTTCAGGTCTTTCTAAATAACCCATACACGTGTCCAACTACCCATTCTAAATTTCTACTCAGATAGACATTTCAAAAATAACATGTCCGAATTCTAAGTACTAATTTTCCCTTACATATCTTTTCTTAGCTTACCCCATCTCAGTTAATGCCTACTCTATCCTTCTAATTGCCCAGGTCATAAACCTTGCAGTTGTCCTTCATTCTTCTCATTCTGTTATCCTCCATAACTAATATTTTAGAAAATTTTACCAACTGTATCTTCAAAATTTAACTGATACACAATGACTTTTCATGAAATCTCCTGCTACAATCCTGGTCTAATACTCTTACCTCGAATATTGCAATGTGCTTCTAAGTGCTTGTTCTCACTAGTCTGTGCTTTTACCATTGATTTTTTTTTTTATTTTCATAATATTATGGGAGTACAAACAGTTTGGTTGCATATAATGCCTTGGCCTTGCCCAAGCCAGAGCTACAAGTGTGCCCTTCTCCCATTCAGTGTGCTCCACACCCGTTAGTTGTGAGTTTACCCACCCCTACCAACCCCTCCCTCCTGACTGGCACCCGATGAATATTACCTCCATGTGAGCACCTTAGTGTTGATTGGTTAGTATCAGTTTGATGGCAAATACATGTGGTGCTTGTTTTTCCATTCTTGTGATATTTCACTTCAAAGGATGGACACCAGCTCTGTCCAGGATAATGCAAGAGGTGCTAGTTACTACTGTTTTTTGTAGTTGAGTAGTATTCCATGGTATACATATACCACATTTTATTAATCCATGTATTGATGGTCACTTGGGTTGTTTCCACATCTTTGCAGTTGTGAATTGTGTTGCCTTAAACATTTGAATGTAGATGTCTTTATTATAGAATGTCTTTTTTTTCCTTTGGGTAGATACCTTGTAGCGGGATTGCTGGATCAAATTGTATTTCTATTTTTAGTTCTTTGAGATATCTCTAAATTACTTTCCATAGGGGTTGTCTAATTTGCAGTCCCACCAGCAATGTAAGAGTGTCCCTATCTCTCCACATCCACGCCAGCATTTGTTATTTTGGGACTTTTTGATAAAGGCCATTTTCACTCGAGTTAAGTGATATTTCGTTGCAGTTTTGATTTGCATTTACCTGATGATTAGAGATGTTGAGTATTTTTTAATATATTTCCTGGCCATTATTCCATCCATTTTTAACCCAAAATACAAAGTGGGAATGTTTCTTTTTTTAATTAGATAAATCTGAGCATCTCATTTCTCTGTTCAAAGCTTATCAATTGTTCAGTTAGAATCAGTCCCTCATAGGACCTATCAGAGTCAGGCTTCTAAGGACATATCAGATCAGATTCCCATATCTCTTTGAGCCTATTCTCCTCTATTTCCCTAACTGATTTCAATTCAATTATTCTGGC